TGAAAATGTGTTTTTATTGCCTCTTTTGCCCTTATTGGACAGATCAAGGAGAGGTGAATCTCACATATCAAATAGGCAGTAAGGCAGTTCCCCGGTCTCGTCTGCATTTTGCCCCTCCCTCCTGCATCCCATCCTTCTTTTCCTTTCCCAGGTTCCTGCCCTATCTATATCTGTCCTCCTTTTCTACCCCCTAACTAACTCTTGTTAAAAATAAATGGTTTTGGAGCAATCAGTCTATCCAAGGAAACTGTCTCCTACGTTTTTTGTTTTTCCTTATTGTGGTATTGTTTGATATATGTATTGTGTCCTATCTGGTGCCTCGTGATCACATGTTTCTGTTTTTCTGCATGTTTAATTATTTACTGTTTTTTTCAATAACTAATCCAGATCAAAACAAATATACATTGCCCAGCAAAGTATTTCTTTATATTTTTCCCAATCACTTACAGTCGTCATGTTTTTGAACAGCTGCAACTCTCTCGGCTCGGCTTCCCTGAACTTCCTGTTGAGTACATCATTACATAGTCCTATGCAGGACTTTGCTCCTGCATAGTCTCCAGGAGCCATCCAGCTACAAACTTGGAGAAGGTAGGAGGGAAGAAGGCAGAGTGGGGAGGGAAGAAGGAGGAGAGTGTCAGGGCCAGTGTTTAGGGCACCAGCTGATACGGCATAAACTCTTTCCAAATACATTCGGAAAAATGTAAACCCCCCTCAATCTATCAATCATAGGTACCCATAGAAGACTTCGAGACCTAAATACTGGCATTTTGGAGGATTTGTCTTTATTTATTGGTGTTTGGTGGAAAGGAGGGGCTTGGCCTGCTGCATGGCTGTGTGTGTGTGTGTGTGTCTATGCGTGTTCCTAGGCACAGCTTGGAACACGCACGCATGGGTGCAACCACAGCAGCTGCTTAGCTGCTGGCCGCACACTGCAGGGGGCGGGGGAAGAGAGGATGCGGGGACCCAAATGAAGAATTGAGAAATTACAAAAAAACAAAGATCTGCAATAAAGACAGCCTCCCAAAGACAGCCCTAAAGCTTTAATATCACTTTAACTGCTTGCCGTCTGCCTAGTGCATGTGCACGGGTAGAAAAAAACTGTCTAATGCAAACAGCTGTTACCGGCTGTTACAAATACAAGCGATCGGTGGCTCTATAGCTGTCCGATCGCTTGTACATGCTGCCCTGTGCGCCCCCCTTCTGCAGTGCCGCCGCCCCCCCTCCTACATCCTCACTTTAAATCCCGGGCTCCGGTGTCCCCTCTGCAGCCCGGGACCGGCTCGGTGGTCTCCAGCGGTGATTAAATACCACCAAAAGAAAGCTCTATGTGTCCCCTTAAAATAGTATCAAATTAATTTCAGTACCACGTTGCATGACTGAATAAATGTCAGTCAAAGTACCGCAGTGCTGAATACTGAAAAATGGCCTGGCCAGAAGGGGGGTTTAGCAACCCTGTCAGCAAGTTGTTAAACTTCAACTAAGCAATATATATAATGCACAATAAGGTTTCTCTGTTGCATATAAGGGGCTTGTAGGAGAGAAAAACTAACCATTATGTAGGGAAATTACAGAGGATCTGATCCCTAAACACCATGTTATTAAATGGACGGCCAGCAAGGAGTTTCCCTATAAAGGATTTTAGCATTTTTGGGAAGATAGACATGACAAAATACTACGGTCAACTGAAAAACAGGGGAGGATACCGAGGGCCGAGGAGCCATAGGCTTCTTCTGCCACCAGTCAAACTGTTGGGTGGAAAGGAGGGGCTTGGCCTGCTGCAGGGCTGTGTGTGTGTCTATGCGTGTTCCTAGGCACAGCTTGGAACACGCACGCATGGGTGCAACCACAGCAGCTGCTTAGCTGCTGGCGGCACACTGCAGGGGGCGGGGGAAGAGAGGATGCGGTGACCCACTAGAAAATGAAGAATTGAGAAATTACAAAAAAAACAAAGATCTGCAATAAAGACAGCCTCCCAAAGACAGCCCTAAAGCTTTAATATCACTTTAACTGCTTGCCGTCTGCCTAGTGCATGTGCAGCAAGTTGGTAAACTTCAACTAAGCAATATATATAATGCACAACAAGGTTTCTCTGTTGCATATAAGGGGCCTGTAGGAGAGAAAAACTAACCATTATGTAGGGAAATTACAGAGGATCTGATCCCTAAACACCATGTTATTAAATGGACGGCCAGCAAGGAGTTTCCCTATAAAGGATTTTAGCATTTTTGGGAAGATAGACATGACAAAATAATACGGTCAACTGAAAAACTATTTGGTCTTCTAACCTGCATTATAGATCTAATTGCTCATTGTCAGATTTATAAAACCAAATGTGTTACTGCTAGAATTGTGCATATGCAGGAAATACTGTAAGCTTGTATGAGCAAAATATAATAGTTAAATAAAATGTTACAGAAACCTTTTCTGAAAGAAAGAAAAAAAGTAGCATTGCCATCTCACTTGCTGCTGATTGACTCAGTTTTACTTTCTGCCACAAACTATGTGTAAACTCACATATTATCCGAGTCACATTTACATTATTTACTGATTATCAACGGATAAATTATTTACGGTATATTTAAAAAAAAAAAAAACAACACACATTAAGGGAAAGTTTGTTCAAAAGTAAGTTAAAACTTATGGATTGTCTTGGCTAATTATGAAGTCAAAATTTCTGATGTAAAAATACGGATAAAGCTCAAGCTCTGCATGGATCAGTCACACTAAGTACCCTGTTAATTATTAAGGATTTAGAGGTGACATTTTGGATTATGTCTCAGCAAATCGGCATGTAACTCAATTTTCAGTTATCCGGGAGCTCAGAAATAATGAATATTATACTAAATTTTATACTTCAGCGGTCTTCTGCTTTCAATACCTTATCCTTCTTGAAAACAGCTATACTTAAAGGCATAGTACACCTTTTGGAAGAGTTTAATAAATGCACAACCCACATTAATAAAAAAAAGTTTTTTTACTTTAATAAATTTTTGCATTAATGGCCGCAGAGCATTGCAACCAAGATAAGTGTATCGTGTGGCAATGCACAGGCTTCTGGTATGAGGCTGGAGGAAGTAATCCATTGAAATCTGTGAGTCCCTTTGCACATGGGAGTTGTAGTGTTTCTATGAGTGGATCTGTGATTTAATGATGCAGTTGTGCAGGTGCAGGCACTCACAGCTGTGCCAAATTTAAAGACAAATAGCTGCAGGGAGGAGCACCCCGAAAATTCAGTTAAACTGGGGAGGGCAGTTTGAGGGTGGGTGACTGGACACTATTACCATGTTTCATCTTACACTCTAAATATGAGTGTAACATGCAACAGTGTCAAAAAGATGGGCTAAACCTTTAAATAAAAGGTCTCAGTCTAAACAAAATTGTTTATTTGCGAATGCTTTAATGAAAAGTCTTTATCAACTCATAGGGGGTTATTTACAAAACTGCTGAAGGCAGCCGAGTAAATAACCCAGCCGAAGTGAAGTGAGCTGGCTATTACCTCTGGCACATTACGGCTGATTTCAGCTGGAAATCGGCTGAAATCAGCCGTACAGCGGCTGCCTACGGGCTGCCAAACATGCTCCGTATGTTCAGCTGAGCAGAAGTGCAGAGGGACTTTGACTCATCCGATCCAACATCTGGATTGGTGGAGTCGAAGCTCTGGCAGCTCACTCGCTGCTGTTCGTTCTCATAGGGGCCGAACGGCAGTTAGCGAATAATCGAATGCCACCGAGCGGCATTCGGCTCGGCCATTCTGCTCGTTGCATCCAGGGTACTGTGCAGAATAGACAAAGAGTGAAATGAAAAAAAAATGTTGGAAAATATTTTTAAACATGTAAATAAATAGGAAAATTAAAAAATAATTAAAATAGTTTCAAGAAAAGAAAAAAAATGTAAATCATTTTTTTAAACGCCGGCAAAAGAAAAACAATTGGGCATAGCTAGCAGTGACAACTAGCTCCGCCCAACTGTTTGCTATTAGCTAGCATAAAAATAAATAAAAAGGTGATTAAAAAGTAAAACATAATAAGAAAAAAATGATTAAAAATAAGAAAATAACTATAAAAAATAAACAATAATAAGATTTAAAAAAATTAAAAAGTAAACGATAAGCTAAAAATGTAAAAAAGTAAAAAAATAAATTAAAAGAAAGAAACAATAAAAATAAATAAAAACTAACCCTGCCGGCCCTGCCATGCGGTTGCCATTCTCCGTTGATGGGGGGGGATTCGGGAAGGGGGGCGCATCCCCCCCCATCAAGATTCTCACAGCCACAGACATGACTCCCAAAGAGAGATGCATCATGGGATTTGTGGTTTCACCACAGCTGGAGGGCCGGAGGTTTGAGACCCCTGGACTAGGCATTCCCATTAAAAGTATATGGAACACTAAGGGGGTTATTCACTAAAGGGTGAAGAGTTTGGAGAAGGCAGGAGAAGTGAACAATCTAGGCCAAAATAGCTGATTTGGAAACATTCTCCAATTCAGTTCACTTTCCAGTTCAACTATGTTGTCCTAGATTGTCCACTTCTCCTGCCTTCTCCAAACTCCTCACCCTTTAGTGAATAACCCCCTAAATGTGCAGCACACTAGCCCCAATTTTTGTAGAGTGCGCATGCAGGAGCAGTACAGAACTGCTGGGAGAATTTGAAAGAAAAGGCAATTTGGCACCAAGTACGATGCAGTGGAGCTGGGATAGGTAAGTATGGGGCTTAGAAGGGATGCTGGTAGAGGGTGGAGTAATAGGTAAAACTGTCCTATTTATAAAAGGTTCATAGAAGAACTGCTTTATAGAGTAGACATGAATACTACACCACTCCAATTTATACCTACACTGGGGAATAGAGCTAGGAAATTACCATTTGAATCTATTGGTTTCTATAAGTTGTCAAACCTTGCTGTGATGAATGTTTAGGGACATTCTCAGGCTAAAACCCTATGTTGTCTTTGAATTATGTTCTGTCAATGAAGCAACCATTCTGAAATTGACAGTACAATTTGCATCACTCTGGGAGAGATAATAGATCTAGCAAAGATCAGGAAAAAAGAAGAAGCTATACTTACCACTTTACCCTTCCCGCTTACCCAGTGTGCTCCACCTCCTCAAAGCTTAGATCTGTGTATTGTGCTGTATGATACACTGTGCTGTATGTTACAGATTTCATACTATAAAGGATGAGATATTCAGGAATTCTTCTCTATATCTTACCTACTGACTTAAAAACTGTTGTTTTCTCTGCCAGAGCAGGTTTGGTCCCTTTCAGTACTTCACCAATTTCAGCATAAACAGATGCCTGAAAAACAAAAGAGCATAATTATGGAATGCCAAGCCCGGCCCCATTCTGTGATGTTGGCACTCCATCCAAACTTTTACTTCAATTTTGGGTAATTGTTGTTGCTTTGAATCACTTTCTCCTTATCTCAAGATGTCTGCAGCCCAAAGAGCTAGGTTTTTTGTTTTTTTTAAATAAGAGTCTCCAAGTGAGACTTCTGCTCACCAGTGCCCATCCTTGACTGCTAATCAGTTTTGGGCAGACTCAATTTTTTAATTTCTTTTTACAGAAGGAATTAAGCAATAGATACACATATACTTTATAGAAGAACTCCAGGCAGAATCTAGGGACAAAAATAACAAAGTTATAATCACCTGAACCCTAGACCCACCTGCCTGCTAGACCAATCCACAAAGCCTCTCTCTCCCTATGCTCCAGCAGTGGAATGTCCCTCGACGTTCTCATATCTAATACGCTGGATCGGATGTGATGATTCACAGGACCATAGACCAGCGTTTTTCAACCATTTTTTAGTCACGACACCTTTTAAACGTATGCAAAATCATGAGGCACCCCAGGCTAAAATGTCATCGATTTTAAGGGGGAGCCCATCTCTTCAAATAAAAAATTCTCCACACCACCCCCTTCACATCAAAGTCACCCTTTGCATCAGTAGTCCCCTTTCACATCAGGAGCACCCCTTTCACATCAGAAGCCCCCCTTTCACATCAAGGTCCCCTGATTTCACATCAGGAGCCCCTTTCACATCAGTCTTCATTCCACCTTTGCATCACAGCCCCACTACTACAAAATGTTGAGGCACCCCTGAGGAGGTTAGAAGGCACACCAGTGTGCCATGGTGTCCTAGTTGAAAAAGGCTCCCTTAGACTACCAGAGCGGAGGGGAGAGGGAGGGCTGCAGAGAACGGTCTAGAAGCCAGTCAGGTCCAAGGTTCTGATGAGTATAACTTTGTTATTTTAGACTCTAGATGAAAAGGTGCACTTAACCCTTGCAGGGTGGCGGTAGCCCCACTGCAAGGGTTAAGATTTCTTCTGCCCAGAGTTCCTCTTTAATTACCCAATATCTGTGCACTCTTGAAAAAAAAATACATGTTAGCGCATGATGCTGCACTCGTAATTATTTTGTTGCATAAGGCTCATACAGCTTTTAAAAACCATTGTTCATAATGGAATTTATAGGATTAAGCAAAGTGTATCTATTCGGTATTGACTTGCCTTTGGCAGTACAGCTGGTGTGTTTTCAGGGAATTTTAATAAAAACATAAATTAAACTTCAGCACAATTGTCCTTAAGCTTTCCTTTAATGGACCTCCATTTTTTTAGAAGTTTGGATGCTGCAGAAAGCCTAAAATGATGCTTCAGTCTCTCAGCAGAAGCTCTGTATTTGAACCACTAACTTTTTACAATTGATACACAAGCTAACAAGCATTGGGAACCTTTGCATTGCTGCCCATCCAACGACATGCAGGAATAAAGTTAACATCAGAGGTAGGCTCAGTTGCAGAGAAAAAGGCATACAAACCTGCAAGAGGTGCCAACTTTATTTTAATTTTAAAATGTTAAAGGATGGATTTGATAATTCTACGGGTAAAGTGGGAAACCCCTTTAATGGTAATTCCAACCAAAACTGAAACCTTGAGATGTATACAGGGAGCACTACCTGCAGTAGATTGCATAGATTGCTGCTAGCAGAGGATTCACCACTGTATGGAACTGCATTGTGTAGAATTTGTTAGTTAGTTTGAACAGACACATTTTGTTTACTTTGCATGTATATTAATTTTTTTTGGTTTTCCCTGGACTTGTCCTTTAACTGCAATCAGCTAAAATTGGAAAATGCACCTACAGAAATTAAAATTTCATTTCTAATTAGAATCTAAAGCATATGAAACAGGCAGCTCTTTTACGATACCCAAGGCTTTGTTTAAATATAAATATGATTATGTTAATATCTTGCATTATAGATTCTTAACATTAAAGGACAAATCTGAATTTAAAAGTGGTATTTAGCATTACGGAAATTTCTGTGTATTTGTAATTTACATATATTTCCTTAGAAACATTCACATTCTCCAATATCTCCCCCCCCCAGTCTCCCATTACTATCTCCTTTTCCCTCTCTCTCTCTCTCCCCCCCTCATTAAAAATAAAATGGTGTAAAAATGTAAAAGCTTAAAAGAAACAATTTTCTCCCAATCTATTTTCCCTTTAATTATAATCTTGGCATAAATATTAGCATTTCAGATGTATGCTGAGTTAAAGCTGTAAGCATCCCTTGTGTACACAGTTCACACTTTGAAATTTACATGTTCAGACATATAAATTTAATTTCGATCTAACTGGATATTCGTACAAATTTCGTTAAATTCAGACATTCACATGCATCCGAATGCCTGAATTTGAACGCGTCCAAATGAGAACGAATCCGAATGTCCTTTTAACAAAATTTGGACCTGTCTAAATTTCGCTCAAAAATAAACTAAATCAGATATGTGACTATTCTCTGGCCACTCAGATTTTTTATTTTTTTGGCTGCCGGGGGTTGCATTACAGGCAAGGTCATGTAACTTTGTTTCCAAACAAAAATTTGGATCGTTCCGAAAGGAAACTTCGGATGGATCCAACATCTAAATAACGAACTGAATCCAATTTCGGATCTGAAATCCGAAAAACAAAAGAAAGTATTATCTGAATCAATACGAAACTAAACAAATGTTTTGCTGGGTTACATGTCTAGTAATGGTACAATGATAGCCAGCTGACCTGCATGCCATCCAAGGCATTTTCCATAGTGTACTCAGCAAATCAACCAGTTTCTGAAGCTATCTAAACTTTTCTCCTGTGTTCTGCTTCAGGTAAGAAACCACTAGCATCAATGATCTTAGCCTTAATCTAAAAGGGACATACTTCCTCCCAATGACAACCAATGTATACGGTTCTTTTTTCCTACTGACCACTATTGCAAGTAAAAAATATTTTTCAGTTACCCTTGAAAATCTGTGTAATGCTTTTTTAACCTGTTTGCAGAGCAACACATTCACAGTTCTACCTCCTCAACCTGTTTCAATTACCCCAGATAGGACTATATCTCCAGACTCATTCTGAGCAGCTTCCTTGGTGTCCACATAAAGCACTGAGTTCCTCATGAGAGTGTCATCCAGTTCCCTCCAGTCAGGCCTACAAGCCCCGAGTGCTGAAAAACAATATTGCATCAACTCTCACCTCATACCAAAACAAGCAGAAATATGTATAATATATATGCTTACATCATAGAAAAGGCATATTTATAGTATGTAAAATTATAATTTTTGTATTGTAATGGTTATGACTTCCTGTGTCCCTCCCTCGATTTTTTTACCATAAAATCCTTTTCTTGAAGTACATTACAGGATAGTAATATAGATACATGGGCGTTTGCTGCTGCCTGCAGGAGATTGGACACCAGCAAACAAAAGCTGTTAGGACAGCCTAGTATAACCCCTCCCAGGGCCATCATGCCTCAGTTTAGTAGCAAGCAATAGTAGAAGTGGATCATAAGAATAGAGGGTAGGGAACTTGCATCCATTAATGCACTCCAAGAAAAGGATTTTATGGCAAGTCAAAAATCCTATTTTCTTAATCATACATTAAGGGATACAGGATAGAAATTTAGGTACATAGGAACTTCCAAAACAAATCTAACTGAAGGATGGGCAAACAAAATGCTAGCAAAGCCAAAAAACAAAGCCACCTCAGGTACTAGCATCAGATGAGGCCTAAATATCCACTTGGTAAATGTAATCAACATAAACAGAAGAGCAGGAAGCAGCCTTGCAATCTGAGCAGGACAAAGAGGAGAACAATGTCCTGGGAAGGGAAAAAGCGGGAAACCACCTTGGGGGAAAAAAAGAGGCCTTAGTCCTCAAGATAACTTTGTTTCTGTAAAGCACAAGAAGGGTTTTTACCTGTGAGTGAAGGTAGACAGGGGAATATCCCGGAAAGACTCCACAAGCAGTTTCTGGAGAACCAGCAGAACAAGGCTGAGACTCCTTGGTGTCACTGGTGAATGCACAGCTAGAGCAAAGAGTGCAACACCCTGTGCAGAGGCACTCATAAAAGGAGTGAGAGGCAAGCAGTCTTCATGAGAGGCAAGCAGTCTTCATGAGAGGCAAGCAGAAAAGCAGCAGGGCTGACCCTTGATGGTACCCAAGGCTAAATGTTGATTCAGACCAGACTGAAGTGAATAGAGGATTAGTCCAATTGAGTACTGCCTGGAATTGAAATTCCTTGCACCATGAGGAAAACTGCTTTCCAGGTGCCATGATGCAAGAAGTCAACTTCCTAGCGTTAAAGAGCATAGGGATAACCAAATCAAATAGGGACCTATCATTTTGTACCTGGACTTCAACAGCCGGGCTGTTAAAGCCAGAGAGCAAGAAGCAGGATGGTACATGGGTCCTTGGGACAGAAATTCTGGACGTTCTCCTCCCCAACCTGACAGGCTGGCATCCATCATGAGGATCTTCCAGATCAGTGGGAGTAAGGACTTAGCCAACTCCAGCACAGGACTTTCCATCCACCAGGCCAGAGCAAGCCTGGTTATATTGTTCAGGATAATGCAGTGATACAGAGTCTGCCAAAATGTTAAGATGCAACAGTCTGGAATGATATTGGGCATATGGGACTGCCTCGAAGAAGGCCATTATCAAGCCCAAAACCCTCTTGCAAAATCTGAGGGTTGGATGGCTCCTAGACTCTAGAGTCCAAACATGGGGGCAGACAGTCTGGGGTTTGTTCTGTGGAAGGAGAACCCTGGACAGGGCTGTATCCAATACCAGGCCTAGATACTCCAAATAATAAGATAATTCCAACCTGCAGGTTTAGTATCCACTGAAACCTCTGCAGGCTCTGAAAGGTCAGAAGGATGTTGGCTGTTTTCTCAGAATAAGAACATCCAGGAATCCATCTATAGGTATACCCCGAGTGAAGTAAGGAAAGAACAGGGAATAGCACCTTAGTGAAAACACAAGACGCAGTTGATAGACCAAAGGAAAGGGTAAGAAATTGATAAAGATGAGTGCCCACCTCAAACCACAGTAAGCATAGATGTGCCAGGAAGATGGGGACATCCAAGTAGGCATCTTTGATGTCCATAGAGGCTAGAAAGTACTCCAGATGGAAGGAAGCAAAGGCTGACTTAGCAGGTTTCATTTAGAAGATTTGCATCTAGGAGGAAGATGGAGAAAAAAAAATATGAAACCTTTTCTTTTTTTCAGAAACAAGACCAAAGCAGCTTAGGAGGTCATTTAGTTTTTGTGGGAACATTTGGTTCCAAGCTACACTGCGCTAGGAATAGGTTCTAAATAGCTTATAGGACCAGCAGCAACTATGTATGAAAAAGATGTCTGATATGGTAAATTAGTTGCGCTTGATCTAAATAAATGTGGATTCCAAAGTGGAAAATATCATGAATAACACACGAACATCTATACAAATAACCAAATATTCTATCCTAATGTGTGATCGATACGTGTATGATCAAACCCTCAATATGGACCAATCTCTTAGTTCCAAGAGAGAGCCATAATCAGTGTGGAAATATCCAAAATTCTTATTTAGGCATGTGATACGTGAAACTTGTATTCATCCACCCCACATCAATAATTGTTGTGTGACAAACGCCCCACGATCACTTAGTGTGGCTCTGAGTAATCTGTGACAAACGTAACACAAAACAAATACAGCAACCTAGTTGCAACCCTTATATGAATAACCCGTGAGTTTAACACTCTTGCATGTGTGAACTTGATCTAGTAGACAACGGTAGTGATTTCAAATACCTAATCGTGAAAATATAATCTTCCTAATAATAATAATATGCACACACTCGTTAGTGTCTCAGTGACCAAAAATAGGCAGTGAATAAATATGAATTAATAAATCAAATATATGTTCTAATTCTCCCCTCAAAGTGTATACAGGGAGTTAAATAATATAAAAACCAACCATGTACCAAAAAATAAATTTAAAAAAATAAATAAAAAAATAAAAGAATAAAGCGGAATAGTCTCAGCAATATAGCAAGCAGTCAATTTTTAAGAATCTTTGCAGTTTATATGTGACGGGATACGAATGGTTAATCTCCCTCTCTCAGTGATATTCAGAGGGATAATCCGTTCGGTTCCCTGATAAATATCCTCCAAAATATGACCAACCAGTCACTGATTGAGAAAAAAACGGAACATTCCAAGGTTCTAATAATCCATCTTCTCCTTTAGTCTCCAAGTCAGGCAATCAGATGTAATTTGATCTTAAATCTTGATTGTTCCAACGCCTCAACGCCCGCACCGGCAGCGTGTATCTATAGGTATCTCACAAGGGATACAAATGGAGAAAGGAGGCGAACACTCTAAGTGCAGTATTCAAGTACAATTTTTTTTTTTTTAAAGTATATGAATGCACTTACAAGAATCCAGAACTGATAAGGCTTTAAGAACGTATGGTAGAAAATCCGCTATGAAAAGTGAAGGTCGGTCTGGGAACATTGACAGGTTTGAAAATATAAAGCAGAGCGTACGTAGAGATTGAAATTCCAGTCCCTGGAAATCACATTGTGGACCCAGACGTCTGAAATACACTGAGGCCAGGTGGCCACAAAGGCCCCCACACTAAAGGCCACAGCTTGCCTTGGACTCAGAGGCTTGGAGAAACATGATGTCTTCTTAGCCACTGAGGTGGAGGGTTTTGCAGACCGAGTGAACCCCAAGGGCAGCCCACTTTTAAAATAACCCTTCCTCAATAGGATATTGCTGAGCAAAATGCTTGGGAAGAGTAAAGATCTTTTCCAGATTAGGCCAATCACTATAAAAAAAACACAAGCTGATATTTCCCTTTTTAAATAGAAACAGAGATTGAGAAGACAGAGTCCTCAATCTCTTTTTCTACAGCCCCTGTTATAAATGAACAGGAAGCCTCTATACTGAGTGTTCCTGTTCATTCATAACTTGTGGAGATAGTATGTTTACCATGTCCTCAATCATGAATGATGTAGATCACTTCCCATTCATTCATAATTGGGGACACAGTAAACATACTATGTCCTCAATTTACAAACACTCAGCAATCGCTGATCGCTGAGTGCTTGTACCTGCTCTCCATCCTCACTGGCTGTCACAGGAGGCTGAGCCAGCGGTGCAGGGACGAGAGCTTGATCTCCTCTGACAGCTGACTCCTCTGGCCCGGCCTCCTGTGACAGCTCTCTCTACTCCCACACCGCCGAACTCCTGATATGTCACAGGAGACTGAGTGGGGTTGTGCGGGAGGAGAGCTCAGAATCCTGTGACAGCAATGACAGCTGTCTCTGCTCTCCTAATCTGTCACGGGAGGCTGAGCAGTGCCGGAGGAGAGACGCCGGTGGTTACAGCGTTCTCGTCCCCTGCACCGCTTGGCCTCCTGTGACAGATTAGGAGAGCAGAGACAGCTGTCATTGCTGTCACAGGATTCTGAGCTCTCCTCCCACAGAGGGGACACAGAGCAGCGCCCAGTGGGGAGGAGAAAAACCAAGGATGCGCTGCAATTTCGGCCGAAAGATGGTGCTTTGCCAAAAGTGCCATTTTCTGCCATTATGTTTCGGTGGCTGAAATTTGCGTGCATCCCTAGTGAGCATACAAGAATAGTCTTAACAAGCTTTTAACCTTAGGCATGGTCAACATAGCTTGTTCAATGACAAGGCAGGTTCACAGTATGTCAAAAAAGACTGAAATGGCGTCCTTAACAGGTAAGTATCTTTTAAGAAAAAAAAAAAACATTAGCCAAACCTAAGAGATACAGTATATACATTTGCAGACATGGACACATTTGTTGTTACCCTGCCATGCAAAAAGAAGAACCCACAATTTTGTGTGAAATAACTTGAAACTGACAAAAGTAATTGTCCAATCCAACAGGTTATTTGAAGGGTGCCTGCTCCAGACTGCATGTTTCAGCTCTTTCCATATCTTGGATAGGATTCTGATCATGGCTCAGAGAATGTCACTTCTTAATAGTTCTTTTCTATTCATTTGTGCATTCAGCTGTATGGCTTTATGTATTCGGTCATTATGCTTTTGGGAGGACACATGACTGGTGACTGAGACATAACTTTCTGCCACTGTGTAGTACGTTTTGCTCAATAATTCTTTGAAAGTCTTGAGCTTTTCATTGTGCCCTGCCAGTTTAAAAGGCATCCTGTGTCAGATGTAGCAAAGTAGTCCCAAAACAAAACTAAGCCTCCTCCGTGTTTCACATCATGTACGGTGTTCTGTTCTTTGAACACTTCATTTTATTGTCTGTTAACATAAAACTATATATAAAACTAAACACACACAATGGGACCAATTTTCTCATAAGCAAAATAACCATCCAGTATGCTTTCGTTTTGTGTGAAGTTTAAAATTCAGTACAGCTAAAATTATGTTCAGTCATTGTATTTTACAGTGCTCACCACAGGTTGACACATACACAATCGTTAAAGCTGAACTAAGATAGGCATAAATATCACAAAGTAATGCACAAAGTCATCATTAAATTTATTTCTTTAAATGCTAGCCATGTAAGTATCGGCATTTGACCTGGTATTAGTCTATTGCAGAGAAAACAACAGCACAAGGAGCCAATCAGTTTATCTGCTGACAAGAATCATGTCGAGAGGAAGAGAAAGTAGTGCAAACGAGAGATGAGCTTATCAGTTTGTTTACTGTCCACTCACAGGTAGGGGACATGTGGGGGATTAGCACCTTCCTGGTGGGAGTCCAACAAGGAGTAAACCAAGGACACACCATGACGCAACGGTGTGTCCTGTGTACACTCCCGTTCGAAGTCCGTCAGTGGCCGCACAAATTTCTTTGCTAGCGGCAAGGATCTGAGGAAGTGGGTTAGTTGAATCTTTTCCCAGAATTTCAGTGGAAGCCACTGAGGCTCACGGGACAATTCCTCCAGTGACACCCAAATATCATTCCGAAGAAAGTGCTGTGCCCTATGTATGCCTGTCTTAGTTAATGTATTGAAGCCTGGGTTTTCCAATCCCGGCGTAAAGCTAGGATTCCCTAAGATCGGAAACATCTGAGAGGGAGCTGGTGATATATTTCCAGTGGGGAAAAGTTTGCGACATACTGTCCATGTCGGTCCAATTGTGGGATGGGATTTCACTGGTATCGGGACTCCACTCTCACACCACGGAAGGGCCGATAATGGGAACCCCACCTCCGATCTTTCAAGTCCTATCCATTGTTTAATCGCGCCGTGACGGCACCAGTCAAGTACCCTAGCGAGGTGGCACGCTGCATGATATCTAATCACATCGGGCATGCCAATACCTCCCTGGAATTTATGCCTACGCAGAATTGCCGATTTTATCCTCGGAGGTTTGTGGGCCCACAAGAAGTGTGTAAATGCACTGTTAACGGCTTTAAGAAATGCCTGTGGGATATGGATCGGCAAAGTCTGCAGTAGATACAAAATGCGCGGCATGACATTCATTTTCAAGATATTGCATCTACCAAACCATGAGAATTTACCAGCATGCCACCTCGCGAGGTCCGACCTAATCTCCTTGACTAGAGGAGGGAAATTAAGGTGGAAGGTGCGGGAAAGGTCCGCAGGTATAATGGTGCCTAAATACCCTAGTGATTCCGCGTCCCAGCGGAAAGAAAATGCCGACTGCAGGCCCAGGAGTAGGAAACCGACACATTAAGGGCCGTAGATTTTTGGAAATTGATGAGGAAATTTGAAACTGCTCCATAGAGTTCAAATTCTCTCATCAGGTCTGGTAGGGATTTTAAGGGGAACCCCAAACCAAAAAAATCAAATGCCGAGGGCATATGGCCTGGTATGGTGGATGGAGGGGGGGCACTCACTCGCCCCCCCCCCCCCCCCCCTTTCCTGCCCTGCCAGGCTGCTGCCTGGATTAAGGGTCTGGTATGGGATTTTAGGGGGACCACCAAATTTTTGGGGGGAGGGGGGTTTGGCATTGGGGTTCCCCTCTACAATTCCTACCAGACCTAACATTCTGGTATGAATGGTTGGGGCAACCCACGCTGTTTTTTTTTAAATTATTATTTCTGTGAACAGTTAAACACTTTTGTGTACTCTGTGAGAGCTGTCAGATGCTTAAGATTCGGGATTGAAGTGTCCGCAAAGAATCAGAGGCTATTACTGAATAACACAGATCTCTCAGCTTCTTTCATTATTTACATTTTGACATGCTGAAACAGGGGCTTCTGAAGTGCCGAAACAGTGATGTCAGCACTCTGTTCCACAGCATTAACAGAATCTGTTGCAAAGTCAGCAGCAAATGGTAATGTGGTGCCTAGAGACCCAAAAAATAAGGGGAGGGAAGATTTTACAGCCAATGACCACCAATGCGGGGGGAATAAAAACAAACACAGTTTGGCCATCAATATGTAGACATCGTTGCTGTGACCACAAATGCGGGGGGAATAAAAACAAACACAGTCCCTGACCTCCACATTGGGGGGGGGAAGTTACATAATACTGCTTCTGACTATCAATGGGGGGAGGTTAAATATTAGTCACACTGGCCATCAATATGGGGGTGGGATTCAAAAATACTGCCATTGACAGTACAATTCAAAGGGGGGGGTGTTACATAATAGTGCTACTGACCACTAGTGCAAGGTGGGGGGGGGGGGGGGAGCAGCACTGGCAATGAACACCAATGTTGGGGGGGCGGCGGAAGTAGTACTTGCACTGACACCAATGCTAGGGGTTATTAATCCTGCCAATGACACCAACAATGAGGCTTATTTTACTCCCACTTTCTCTTCTGTGTGTGTTTAATATATTTTAAATACATATTCTGCATACCCATACTTTTATTGTAGGAGTATCAATTGTTTTTTTACTGTTGGGGCATGGAAGGTTTTGAAAGAATATACAGGATTCTAGTCTAACTAAGACTGAGAACCACTAGAGTTCTCCTTTAATCCGTATCCCAGGAGCAATTACAGTTGCAGTCTACAAAACCTGTCAAGTAAAATATTAAGAAAATGAGTATACTTGTCATCAGTTTCTTAGTAAAATAAATATAATGTGCCACAGTACCATTGATATGCGCGCCTGGCTTGACCCAGTCACCATACAACAAAGGCTCAGTAGACATCGTAGCTGTGACAATCACATCAGCGCCCGTCACTGCTTCTTGCGGGGTTGAACACACGCATATGTTTCCTTCCACAGCATTTGCAAATTTTTCAGCTTTTTCTCTTGTGCGGCTCCAAATCTTGACCTTCAGGGTGAGAGGAGAGAAAGCTAGCGGAAGAAGTATTTTTAGAGTCTGCTTTCTGCTTGGATAAAGGTGATTTACTAGGTTATTGGGGCAGCATCGATAGTACTACAGAATATGGCACAGAAAAAATATTCCCAGATGTCATGCTCTTCTGTCCAAGAAAAATTACAGCTTATGCCTAGGAAAAAAGCTGAAAATGTTCCACAATATATCTCCAGAATTTGCATTTTTCTAAAACTGCTGTGTAGACAGTAGAACAAAAAAAGTTTATATCTATGCCAGGCCAGCAGAACATAAGTCAATGTCTACATTTAAGAAATATAAATGGCAATATAATTTTAAATCATAAAATCTGAGTTGGATACAACTGAACTCCAGTAGTGCACAGTTGTACAGGCCGTTCTGTCCTGAAAATGCTTACTCTGATTTCACTGCACACAGTGAGGTTCTCACAAAGTGCATCAAGTCAGAGAGAGCTTACCTATTTCCTTCCTGGAGAACATCCAGCATCAACTAGCTCTTTCTTCCCCCGTCTGACTGTCCTTGGCCCTGTTGGCATACATGTTTTGGTGCCAATAGCAACACACAGTGCTTGGATCACCTCTGTTTTACATCACTTTTTCTTGTTTTTCTGTTTCTTATCTGGCCTACAGTTTTGTGACAATGTATAAATAAGCTTTTTCTGCGATGAGTGCAGTCCTGATGGAGAAAAATGTGTGGTCGATAACATTACAGGGAAAAACTGCTTCTTTGTGTCCTTTAGATATTACAATCAAACTTTATCTATTGACTTCCGAGGATGACATAATTAAAGAGGTCAATAAATCAATACTAAAAGCTAGCTACATGTCTTTTTCACTTTAAGACCCGTCTGCTTTACACAGCCTTCTTTGTGCGCCACTCAGCTATAGATCCTCAAATCATCTCTGAATTGGTGCCAAACACTGTCCTTCCTTCTGGAGGGTGGCTACTTTTGTTCCCCATGGTTCCTTTGTGTGTTGTAAAGTAGCCACCACTCCAAGTTCGCTCTTGTGATGGACTGCAATCGCAATACACATTAGTTAACTAAATGTGAGATTGTAGTCCATCATGGGAGCGAGCTTGGAGCAGTAGCTTCATTACAACACAAACAGGGACTATTGGGAACAAAAGTAGCCGCCCTCCATTTTGTTTAAGGTACAGTACTTGAATGCATTTTGAAGATTTAACTCCTGAGCTTAGTGTCACTTTAGAGTAATCAAATGGCTGCCTATTACAATTACAGCCCTATAGCATATACAAATATCAAATTATATATAGATCCATTTGGTTAAAGTATCTTCGGAGTCAGATCAAATCCCTATTCCATTATAGGCCCTAGTGGGGGAGTGATGTTGCTCCTGAGACATGTTGGCTGTTTTTGTTTAATCAAATTGTGAACAATTAGAAGCACTTTTAGAAGTACTCTTTCACCTTTTGGTTTGGCACCCAGTCACTTCCTGTTTTTTTGGGAGCTGTCCTGCCAGAGCCATTGAGCTTATTTGAAAATGTTCCTGCATCTAGACAATTTCATTGAGCACAGAAACCCCACCACCTCTTAAATATGTTTCTTTACAAACAAAGGTATAGGGAAGGCAGGTAGGTGACTTAGCTGTGTTGCTTACCTGCACTATGAAAAAATCAGGTCACTGGACCTGTTTGCCCAAGGGTAGAGTTACTTTTGAAAGAACTTTGATAAGCAGTGTTTATATCGTCAGTGTTCAAATAAAACAAAAGATTGTTCTATCAGAGAAATTATATACCTTGTTTAATTTTCTGGAGTTCTGCTTTACCTGGAGCAGATCCATTGCAGCAGTTGCCCACTTTCCTTGTTTCATTTAAATGATTCAATCAGATCAGTTAACATGGACAGTACGTCCCTTTTGCTCTAGTTTCCAGGTAACAAAAACAGACTTGTATCAACCTCTGATGGAGGAAAAAACTCTAAATCTGTGTATTGCTGTGTGTATTTTTGTGTTCTCTACCGCAAATTCATAAGTTAGAAAAAAAATGTTCTGTATTCAAAAAGCTTAAAAGGCCTTTCAACTTTTAGCCTTTAAAAATTGGCACTGGCACAATGCAATGCACTCCTCCCCTCTCCCCTCGACTTCTGATGTCCCTATTCAAAGCAATATTGATATTTTGTGATGAAAATTACTTACTACTCTTAGTGATTAGTTACATTTTGTTCCACTGAATCCCAGCCTGTCAGAGAAATGAAAGATTTAATTGTATTTCCGGCAATGCAGAGCTTCAATATGAGCAATTCTTAGCCGCAGATGCAACTTCATCAATTTCTCTAGGTTATAATGATGGTTCCTATTTACCTCTTTGAAAGAAAACTGCTGTGTAAAGGCTTGGTAATGACTATGTGCTTGAGCTCCAGAGCCCAGAATGCAGAGCACTTCAGCAGGCGAAGGCATCAGCAGCTGAAATACAAACATGAAGCAACAGTAGACATCAGTTCCTCTTTTTCAATATGCAAACCAGTCAACAAGCTTGTACAGCAAAGCAAGCAAATAAAAGTGCCAATAGATGTTCGGTGGCAGTTTCCTGGTGTGGCTGTTTTTGGCTGCCTGGGGTGACAAACATATCTATAGTGCATCCTCTGACAGATCTGTACAATCCTCCTCCCTTCCTTATCTAAGTAAGAACTCTTGAAGGAGCAGTGAATTGCTGTTTAGGGCAGAAGTTATACCTGCAACATTGCAGGACGGTCAGCTCATGCTTTATGTTTTTGGCTAGCTTTGGTACTGTTCTATTAGACTAGCCTTTATCAACCCTGGGGTGCCATCGGGTTTCCTCAGGGGTGCCCTGAAATTTTTGCACAGTGCCATGCATTTCCATGGTGCAGGCTATGATATGAAAAGGAGGCTACCCTCCATATAAAGAATGGGGATCACTCCTTAAAACCCCACTAGACCCCTATGTAGGATAAGGGTCTGGTATGGATTGGAGGGGGGGGCACACATCTTTTTTACATTTCTTTATTTTCTTTTTTTACATTTTAGACTGAGGTGGTTCAAGATTTTGCATACTTTTAATTGATGCCATGACTGGAAAAGGTTGAGAAATGCTTTTTTAGACAATTAGACTCGGTTAAAAATGCATAAATGCACATTCAACGCATATTAACCCATAGCACTTAAAGTCTATGCATAGCCAAAACCTGTTTTTAGCTTTTTACAGAATGGGTAAGGTTAATTACCCCTGTTAGATTATGTTTTGCTGTCTTGTGTCCTGCTAAGCAATTTTCCCTTTACTTGTTCTAAAGATGCAACAAAAAGTAAGAGGAAATTTTCCCAAAGTGAAGAAAATGCCCATCTCATTTGGTTGGCACCAGAACATTGGTTCTCAACAAGATTTACCCTCACCTCTTGCTCTCATGGCATTTCTAAAATGTTAGATTTCCCCTTACCTTCTGTCTCAATGACAATGGTCACCAGAACAAACAGGGGGCTGGATCTTCCCAATGGGGACACAAACAGTGGGTCTAACCCTTTCCCACTCTATCCAAACTAAAAAAATATTTTGCCTTTATATATACTTAACTCCCAGTTAAATTTTCCCCAAATGAACCAGCAGTACAATTGTTTCAAACACACATTCAAGCCAGAAAAACAAAGTCCTTTGAGTACTAACCCTAACTGCCAACACCTAACTGTTCTCGTCATCCCCATGCCATTAACATTCTTCAGTACAGACTGCAAATCATGGTTAGCATTCTGGACTGAAACTTATGACCAGTGGAATGGGCAGGGCTCCTGTCCCACACCAAATTACCGGGTCTTTTCTCAAGTTATGCATAAGTGGTCTTTTTTCATTATGCCCTAATGGAGAAGCCATTTCTCAGCAGGTATCCAATTAGATGGCTTCTTCGTTAGGGCCTAAAAATAAATAGGTTTCAAATAAGAGCTAATCTATGGCCTGTACTGAAGGTATTTTTAAAGCATAGAAAGGGTTGAGGCTGAGAAGTTAGATCTAATTTTGTTATAACTGTAGTTATCCTTTAGGCAAATTAGTGTCAAGTATATTTTAAATTAAATCTAGAGCATTCTCTAATTATATCATTGAACAATTGAAAAACAAAATGCAAGCATTATTTCAAAAATAAAAAAATCATATAAAAAGGGAAAGAATATTAAAGAAACAAAAATAGAACATAAATCATAATCTTAACTGGTATGCCTTCATCTCGAATAAAGGACATAATGATTCACCACAATGATACTACACATAATCTTTGTATGTAACATCCTCGGTCTATTGAATTTTGAACTGGTAGAGTTATAAAGAAAAATAAAAGGATTCTAGACCTATATATAGCAGTGCATTTGATATGCAAGTTGTGTTCATCTTTCTTGAAACTGTGACTTCAAGGTCAGTTTTTCATTCAAAGGTATAGCCAAACTCCTTGGGGGCTCTGATATCTTCCTGTTATTTATAGGACCTAGTATACACACAAATGCTTCATACATTATAGCAGATTTGTATAGCCTTTAATGGATAAACAGATTTATTTGTGCAGTGATATTTATAGTATTTATAATAATATAAATATTTTATTATAATAAAAAGGTCAGAGCTGAATACTACTAGGGGCATGGGTCATGCTAATAATGATGTGTCCCAGACACTAGACCAGGGGTCACTAAATGTTGGACCACAATTTGGACATGGAGGGAATGGTGGTTCTGTCCGGACCTCGATCATCGACTGACCCTGAGTTATGGCTGGCTGACAGCCATAACTTCCGAGGCCAGTGTTTTTCAACTGCCAGCCATAACCTAGCGCAGACTTCCTTCCATTTCAGAAACCAATGGCGTCCTGGCAACCAATGACGTCATACAGCCACCCAGATCACTTATATTAGAGTGCTGTTGTGCGCCCCCCCTGCATTCCCCGCCGTGGATTTTGGGTTCCCCACATACCTGGGGAGCCTGGGACCATGGCAAACAGTGCCAGGATGGGGAGAGGGAGTAGGCCAGGGAACATCCATTTCCGATCTGCACTGTGTTCACTGAAGTGTGAAGTGCTCTGCTCTCAGCACTTTCTGCTTCAGCTGTCAGAAGCTGGCTGAAGTGCCTGGTAAACAGAAGAACATACACATTCCTGTGCTGGATGGTATGTATTGGAGGCCAGGCGAGACATCAGAGGCCTAATAGACTCCATAAAGAGAACCTGTCACCTCCAAATGCTGTCACATAGGGGCTTGGTATCCCCTTTGTGATAGCAAGTTAAATGAAAAAAGTTTTTTTTTTAAAGTAGAAAACAAATAAAATGGAAACAAATTTTAAAACCAAGTCTGTCGCCCCCGCAATCTGATTCTAATGAACATGTGCATGTAGGGCATGCACATGTATGTACACGGGATGGGGACTTCTAACATAAAAGTAACAAAAATAAAATAAACAGTGCGATGCACCACAATCGGCACATCAGCACTTTGCCTGGGAACACACACCATCAGCTGTGCGTTGCAGTGCAGCTGCTGGTATGAATGCAGCCTAAATGGCAGACTGCTCTATGGACATGAACTGAGTGACTGTACTGTCCGGGCCGTGATTGAGATCTAAAATTTTATTCACGCACTTCCTTGATTTTAATTCAATGCTCCTATACTAGACCATGGTCTCTTCAAATAGGTAAAGTAAAACAGGGATTAAACTGAATTAACAAGGCCAAGTAAAAAAACGTAGGAAGTAACAATCATTCTTTAGAATTCATTTACACTAGCTCACCTGCTTAAACGCTCTGTTTTAGTGGGTGGACTAGTGTGTTGTGACAGCTCTGGCGGGAGGAGGTCTGAGAGCATCACACTGTTTACTTTTTTCATTTTTTAAACTATATATGGAGTGTACAAACGTTATACTCCATTCAGTTCCCTGCACAGCAGAGTGGTATACTTTTCTGCCGTGTGGTAACCTGTGGTGCGGTCCAGTGCACTGAGAAAAAAATGCAGCATGCCAGCATGTCAATTCATGTTAACAAGTTGTTTTATTTCTGCATATTTGGTTGTGTTTTTTGCGCCGCTCCTTATATATTATGCTGGCCATCCACAGCTCATTATCACCACCGGGTTTCTCAATCAACTTTTGGAGCCGGGTGGAAAACGATTGGCTGAACAAAGCCTGCATGCTGACGCATCCTGTAGTTCACTTTTTTGTTAGAACGTTATTGAAATGTCATAAGTTTTATCGGCACAACATGGTGCAATGTAGTTGTTCCGCTTCGCACCACACTGCGCTGCCTTGTCTTTGTGTTGGGGCTGTGGTGGTAAAGGCAGGCAGTGCATCCAACAATGCTTCTAGTGTGAACAGACCCTCAGAGTAAATTTTTAGCCCATAACACTTTTTTTCTGAGGAGCTTTTTGCTGCTAATTAGGTTCTGATGGATGTCTGGAAAAATTAATAGGCTGTGTTTTAAATGTATTTATACTCTATTTTTGGTTTTATCTACTCCCAGTGCATTTTATTGCTAACATTTTCATTTTAATGTATTATTTGGGGTGGGGACTGTTTATTTAATTTTTCCATTTTTAGTGAGATCATTTTAAACATATTTTTAAGTATTTTTTATTTACATTGAATTTTGCTATGGTTTTTATATTAATCTATATACGAGTTGATATGTTTTAATTTGTACATAGGAATCATTTGTTTACAAACCATATTTATATCTAATTTGTAGCCCTGAGGAAGGGGAGTTGCTTGAGCCCCCGAAACATGGTGGCTGTTTCTTCTTCTCCCGTTATGAATTATTATCAATAGTATAGGATGTTGCACTCTTGGGCCTTTCATCAGGTGCTCTCATTAGACTTTGTACATAAGCAATAAAAACAGAGGTTCAAAAAGTTTGGATACACTCTTAAAAGGTAGTATGACCCAATAAAATATATGCCAAATTACAATTTTCTTCTTAGTCCCCCGTGCAAAGTCCCACAAATACTAGCTTGTTGATCCTGCCATTGAAGTCCACCCATCGAAGCTTCCAGTGATAGGGTAGCAATGATACTGCACTGCTCCTAAATTCAAAGCAGTGTTGCTACCTTAATGTTCTGTGCCTGTTTAAAGTGGGTGACAAGATGTTGTCACCTTGTATATCAGCATCGTCAGTGCTGATTCCCAGACCTGTAACTTGTTAATCAGTATCTGGCCATACCTAGTCCTGCCTACAGCATTGCCTCTGTTGCTGAACCAACTCCCACTGTAGACAGCAGTGTCTGGTTGGGGGTAACATGTAAAGCCTTACCTTATGGGGCTTGTGCATCCCATAGTAACTGGATTTGGTATTTTTTTTAGACTGTCGAACAGGAGCCTCTAGATGTACTTTAAGGACAGAACAGTTACATCAACATTTTTTACCTTCGTAGCAATTGCAGAAACTGCTGCTGTTCTTTTATCTGTGATCACTTTTCCATTGATTACCTAGATCAATAAAGCAACAACAAAAAAATTGTTAGAAATGTCTGTAAAGGGCTTTAAGCTTGAGGGGATACTGCAAGAAAATATTGCAAGTATATATACTAAGAACCAAAGATGCTTTGTAAAGCCTCTCAGCTGTTTCATAAGTAGAAAAATGTTAGGTTATAACATAAACAATCTCTTCTTAACCACATGAGTCCCAAGGCCTTTTTCTTACTAAATCTCTTTGTGTTCCAGAGCCTTTTTTCATGATGGCAATTTCTCAGTTCCGCAAGTTATATTTTTTAGCTTTTGTAGTTTACCCCAATCTATATTAGTGTTTGCTTTTTTCATGACAAACAAGGCTTTAATTTGGTAGCCAATTTTTATTTGCTTGGTTTTGTATTGGGAACAAAAAGTAAATATGAGAAAAAAAAATCATTTTCTGAAATTGTTCCCAGTGCAACATTTACATGTTTTGCACACCATCATATATTTACCCCAAAGTATAACCAGCAAAGTCTGCTGATAAAAATTATACAAGATTAGTGCGACTTTTATGCAATGTAGCAGAATGGTAAAACTCAAAGTGAACATATGCGTTTTACTTTAGGAGAGCATTTTTTCCCCAATTCACACTCTCGCTCATTCTGGAAGGTGGCTACTTTTGTTCCCCATAGTTCCTGTGTGTGTTGTAAAGTAGTCGCCGCTCCAAGTTCACTCCTGTGATGGACTGCAATCTCATTTAAATTAATAAACTAAACGTGAGATTATGGTACGCCACTTTCTACTTATTTAAAGATATACAGAAACAAAATGCTTTGCATGATGTTTTAACAGACCAAAACGAAGCAAATAAGAGAAGTTCATTGTTGATGACTTTAGGCATCAATTAAAGTCGACCTATTGTTTTACATTTATCACCGACCTTGGGTTAAATAATTAACCCAAAATATACGACGATGTTCAACTACCTCTGTTTAGAAAGAGTGTAGGTACCAGTGTGAAAAGGGGTGCTGCCAGGTTGGAGGATGAAACATTTTATTTAAAGCAGTGTTTCCTTCACATCCCTTTTCCTATTCTGTTTGTCGTGTTACATTCTTTGTCTCGTGACGTTTACATTTATACATTTCTGTTAATTGAATGCATAATTTGATGTTTTAGCTACAGTACACTACGCTGTACTTTTGTTATAAAACCAACAATCCTTGATGGCTGCAGGGCCATAAAGGAATGACTAGCATTGCTCCACTAATTATTGTGAAATCAGGAATAAACTGCTAATTTTTATTTGTGATGCCATAATGACATAAAAATGTATTATGCATGATAAAGGCAATGCTTTATGTTATACTGTATCTTGTTGGTCCTTAATTGATTAAACTTAGAGGCTCATCATTCTGGGTGTGTCATCATTCTGGTCTCCAGGTTGCGGCATCAGTAAACTGGTGCACAGCTTATATTGTGATTGGTGGATAGTGTTCTTCATTATACATCATAGTATAGATACAGTATATTGTGATTGAGAAACTTGCTCTGAACACCGGGTGGTTATCTGTCCCAAGTTTGGATAAGCAAACAATGCGTATGGAGTGACCTTGGAGTGATGTGGGCCAAGAGCAGAGCAAAGACAGGAAAGATTGGTGCCTAACAATGAAAGTAATCAAAAGAGTTGAAATGCTGAGCATTAGCTGTGGTGAGCATAGGGAACAACTATGACTCCAAAATATGAAACTTAGATAAAACCAGGCCTTCTGGCATTCTCAGGGAAGTTATCAAGTTCTTATCTGTCATCTGTCTGTTATTATTCCTCAAATAAGGATTTGAGGACATTTTTGCATGCATCTGTGATCCATGTACCTGTCATACTGAACAGTCAGCTGCGACAGTTTATCTGATCTATTCAACTTAGCATTGTCTTTCACAAATGTGTATATACAGGTGGCCATACACCTGCCGATTATAGTACGATAATCGCAGGAAATCCCGCGATCGTACGATAATCGGCAGGTGTATGGAAGGCGTGCTACCCTGGCTTGAGAAAGAAGACGAGAGCTTCGAAACGCGTTGCCAAGACTACCGAAACTACGCTAAGACCACCGTAACTACCACAAGCATCCTATCCTATCCAAGTTTAGACCAGCAAGATTGCCGTCGCTCGGCGGCGCCTGCGCACTGCGTCACTCATCTCAACCCCGCACAGAGAGCCACTGCTCTCTCTCCCTCCAACATAGCACTCGTTTGGCGTTCCCCACCCGCCAACGAACCGGACCCCTGCAAACAGTGGATGGGACCGACAACCATCATTCACCATCCAACCAGACGCTCCAGCACAGCGTGAGGGACGGACCCACACCGAAGATTTTTCAACCAAGCAGGCCAGCAACCCAGCAGCAGGTTTTACACACAGGCACCCGACGGAATCGCACCCCGGCTCTGCATTTGAAGACCCTGCACCCAACCCCAGAGGAGACCGCCGGACACTGCCTCCAACAGGGACCCCCATCGCCGATGACCACACTTCCTTAAGAATCTCGCGGTGAGTTGATATATGCACCACACACCGCTTAAACTTTCCTCCACCTCATTTGCACTTCTTGGTTTTCTTTGTTTTTTATTTTTCTCCCTCCACCCCTGATACTCTACACGTCGCGGAGAGAACACCGGGTAATATTAACCCTGCATACCCAAGTCCATCCAGCTCCTTATTTCTATTTTTAATTTTATCATTTTTTATTATTATTATTTTTTATTTATTTTTTTATTATTATTTTTTTTTTATATATATTTTTTTCACCTGTCCAACCCCAAGGGCAGTTGCGCTTCAGACCCTTCTTTTCTGTTTTTTGCACTTATACTAATTGGACACCCCGGTCCATGTTGAACAGAAGCTGCACGCCACACCCACTTTTACACCTTCCTCTCCCATACAGCCTAGATTTAGTCATACAAACACCCGGAAAGCTCTGAACAACACAAAACCACTCATCCCCAACACCACAGGAGAGCGCTGTTATCCAGGACTTGAATCCTTAATTTTTTCGTATGGAAGGCGTGCGACTGTTTCTACTGTACGATCGCACGTCTTTTGGCTTACGAGCACGTCGGAAAATTAGCTGAAAATCGCAAGATTTTCGGCGGGTTTGTGGCGTGCTCGTAAGACAAATGCGGCACGTGCCGGTGTGCGCAAGCGGGGCGGTTCGGGCTTGCGATGATCGCAAGCACAATCTACCTGTCCAAGATGGGCAGATCGTACGAGCTTTAAATTATCTTACAACCATCGCAAGATTAAAGTCGTGCAATGGTTGTAAAGTGTATGGCCAGTTTAAGATAGAGTGATCGGGGAGAAATATACACATGGTAATCAAATCCAGCATCTTTTCAGCTTTAGCACAGGTGCTACATGTGCTTCAAGGACGGTAGCTTATCAATTTCCAAGGATTGTTGCGACTTGACATAATCCATTTTTTTAGATATAATATAGGACATTTCAGACCAAACACAGCAAGCTAGGTGAATTGTACTATAACTAAAATTAATATAGGCACCCCTCCACAAACAACCACCACCAACCGCAATCTCATTCGACAAAGTTGATATAAAAAATTTGGACTGGTCCAAAACAGGGGGCGCAGTTCTTGATTTTTCCTTCTTTCTTTAGCCCCGCTATTCTTCCTCTTTTGCCCTGTGTTTGCTCTCTGTACCTTCCTCTGGTTTGATCTTCTTGGTCTCTTTCTATCTTGTAATCTGCCTCTACTACCTCCCCTTCTGTCTTCGGTTCTCCTTTTCTCTTGCCCCCTCCCTTTTCCCACAAGGTGTCCACAGACACCATCCTAGGCTAAGTCGACGGTACATATGTACATGTAGGCAAGCTATGTGTGCTTTTATGGTGCTTTTTCTACATATGATTAGGAAACTACATCGTTTTGTGCCCATTCATTTATTTCATTTCTTGTACCGATTTCTACTGCAGACCTCCTTTTTTTTCCCTTACCCCCTCTGACATTTGTTTTTCACATCTGTATTTGGAAGTAATAACCTTAAATAAATGATTTACAAACACAATAGCAGCTTCTTTATGCCAAGCATTCTTCATGGAGAGCTTTACTTATACATTAAACATACAGTTAGCATTTCTGTAATTCACATTTTTCTACGTTAATCTTTCACGTTATTTAACAATGAAGTAATCTATTGCTAATCTGAGAATCAGAAATAATCTGTCAAGTAAGATAAGCAGTTTCTTCTACTTCTGAAAATGACTGTTCAGTATGTCAGCGTGGCATCAACTGAGATAATGTATTTAGAAAGAGAAAGAAAAACAATGCATTACGCACAAGATTTAACTAGTTCCTAATCAAGAAACCTTCTAGTAAACCCAAAGTGGCATAAACCCTGCAGAGAGAATGGTAACAACTCCCCCTACTGGAATTTCCAGATATAAAAATGCTAAAAGTCACTGCTCTGTACAATAAATGGTGCAGGAAAACGCATTATACTTACTGCCTTCAGACTCCCATTTGATGGTTCAAATAACAGAACAGTTGCCTGGTGAGATGGAACTTCAGATTCGGTTTTATTCTCATAAAATGTTACGACCTTGGTTGTTAGGGCATCATCCACTGTGCTGTAAGCAGGCATGACTCCTAAAAACCTGAAAAAATAGAAAAGCATGCCGATTTTCCCATACAATTCATGCGTTTTCTGGACAAAAAGATTGTTTACCCCCGGGAACTAAATTAAAGAAGAACTCTGGGCAGACGAAAACAACCCTTTCAGTGTATCTACCCCCTCACTGCAAGGGTTAAGTGCTAGTTTTGGTCTAGGGTCTAAAGTAACAAAGATATACTCGCCCAAAACTCAGTTTCTGGACTGGTCCCTGCAGCCTCTCTTCCCCTTCGCTCTGGTGATTGAGTGTCCCTCTGTGTCCCCACATCTAATACACTGTATTCGATGTGATGACTCACCGGTTCTTAGATCACCGGAGCGGAGGGGGAGGGGCTGCAGGGAACAATCTAGCAACCACACGGGACTGAGGCTCATTGCAATGCAGGGTTAGCCCCAGAGCAAGGGTTACGTTTTCTTCTGCCTGGGAGTTCTTCTTTAATGTAATTTGGGAACACAAAAGTAGAGAAATCCCAGCAGTTCACAAATCTAAATGTTTTTTTTCATTCTTCAGATGACGCTTTGCTTTTCTTCCTACAAATCTAAATGATTAAATGTAAGTAGTATAACTAGGGATATTAAATATCTGGACTCCTATCAGTCCATGTCAGATTAGCCCCTAAACCCCAGTTGTATTCTTTATTTTTTAGGTGGACTATAATGATCATATCAAGGAATTTGTAACACCAACAATGTGTACATCATGACAGGTGTACATGCAAACATTCCGACTTGACAGGTTTCAAAGCCTGGAACTTGTCTTCAAAAGAAAGGCTCCATTTACACCTATATTTTATGTGTGATTAGGGATTCCTGCATCAGGAACTTGTCATTTCCTGCAGCAGGATTCCCAAATCTGATGTTTACAAGCAGCGGCTGTCACCTATTCAAGTTAATGATCGTGTGACAGCCCCTTAATTTGAGCGCATGCACACCACATTTCATTGTGTGTGATATGATTACAAGCGGTTAGGAATCAATCAATATCCCTGGACGCGTTGATCGTGTGACTTAATGGCACCTAAAATATAGGTGTAAATGGAGCCTAAAGCTGATGTCATCACGTCTAAAGCAGGCTGCTTCATATAATGAGGCAGCCTGAGGCTGTTGCCTCGGGAGGCAGGCAAAGCGGCATGGCTGCTCTGCTGCACAATGTTTGCAGTATGTCTGCCGCCCCCTTTCGAGCCAGAGCGTCCCAGGTTGCTAACAGCAAGACGGGGAGATGTGTAAGGGCCATACACATCTCTCCACCTAGCTCTTAGCAGCCTGGGATGCTCTTGCTGGCATCCTGCTGAGCTCCTGGCAACCAGTGACATTGGTTCCAAGGAGCCCGGCGGGATTCCACTCCCCCACCCCCCGCCACTTCAGGTCGAAAAAAAACTAGGGATGGCCCTGCCTGCATAGATCGTTTACATCTGGAGTGGAGGGGAAAAAGGTCAGTGCTGACCACCAGGGGAGAGGGGAGGGGGTAAGTAAAAGTGTCTTTACCCCTGCAGTGCAGAGGTAGTCTCACTGCAAGGGTAGATTTTTGGTTTGCCAGGAGATGTGCTTTAAAGTTTCCAAAACATGACTTGTTCTTTATACAAACTCCAACTTGGAGACAAACTCCCCCTTTGTATAATGTGTCAACCTACAGAAAGGAATGCCCATGGTATAGTTAGAAGTGAGTAGAGTGGAATTTCTTTACCTATCTGATTAATGCCCAGATCTTGTGCACTCATTTCCCTACCAGATCCAGTGAGAACTGCCGTTAAATGAGTTGTATGGGTAAATCAGTTGTTAGGGGACTGTAGTAACGAGCTTTGGTTATGTGCTGTTGGCTATTTGTTAAGGTAGTACTAAGCGTGTGCCCTTTTTATCTCCGACACATAGTTATTCATTAATGCAGCACAGGACAGAAATCCATTTCGTTCATCGATGTTCCTAAACACTTACAATACTCTCAATTTGCTGCCACATACTCTGGATTGCTAAGCGCCACTTCCCCAAACTTCGGGTCGGGGAACGTGCACTAATATCGCCATTAACAGTCCTTAGATCACATTAATTGGGAATACATATCCCATCATGCATTCCACCAGCTTGTATGCATGTTGTGTCATCGAAGGAGGAGCAGAGACATTTCTTAACTGTGTCCTCTCAAGCTACCTGTGCATGTCAGGTTAGTAGTGTCCTTCACGTCAGGCTGTAGTCTTCTTACAGGAGCAAACCCAAATGGGTGCCAAAGAGGGGGCTCCATTGGACCCTGCCAGGCACAGGGGACACCCAAAAACAGGAAAGCAAGGGCAGGGATAATGGGAATGGCTGAACAAGGTAGAAAGAGAGGGAGGAGCAGCATCTAATGCAGAGGTTGGCAAACTCTGGCCCTCCAGCTGTTGTGGAACTACAAATCCCATGAGGCATTGCAAGATTCTCAAAGCCACGACTCCCAGAGACACATGATGGGATTTGTAGTTCATCACAGCTGGAGGGCCAGAGTTTGCCCACCCCCTGACCTAATGCAAATGTGGACCTCCTCTGATTAAATGTTTAAAAGAAATAGGGTTTATTAGCACTTTAAGAGCATTCTTGTGTCATTGATTCATAGTAAAGTTGGCTTTGCATCTGTAGAATTTTGTGCACATTTTCATACGAAAAAGCAGCATATTCATTCATCAGACCATTTATTAGTATCATCATGGACTCAACAAGTTTCAATGATATTTCACTCAATTGCCATGCCAATGTGTCACATTGCAACGTTTGATTTCGGGATGCCACGGAAGCATACCTCCCAACTTTCTGAGACACCGTCCAACACTTTGAGGGGAATTTATCAAAACTGGAGCAGACAAAATCTGGAGCAGCTGTGCATGACAACCAATCAGCTTATCTCTTTCATTTTCTAATCTTACCTGACAGGCTGAAAAGAGACGCTCATTGGTTGCCATAGGCAACTGCTTCAGATTCTTCTGCTCCAGTTTTGATAAATTCCATCCCAATGTATTTTTGGCACCCCTGCCAACCCCTAGTTATGTGTACCATTAAAAATTTATATCCCAAAACTGATTGGTTAAACCCAGAATAGTTCCCCCCACCATTACTTTTACTTTACACTGGCTTTTCACTGGCTTTTCAAAATAGTAAACAAGATAATTAAGAGATAAAATCACTTTTGGTGGTTAAAAGGTACATTTTCATTAATTTCCGTACATCAGACCAAAAAGAGGGACAACTGAGCAGGAAAGAGGGAGAGAGGAATTTGGTATAATATTCCTTTTCCAAGCACATGTGCATTACAATAATTATATTATTTCCTGTCCATGAATCACATTTACATTTAGAAATGTATTCATTCGAGAAAAAATTTCCATCCTTCTCCTGTGATTCTTCATCACACTATGGTCGAGAATGATTGTTGAATTATACCCAATAACCGAATCGAATGACCACTCAAAAAAAAATATTTTTGAATTAAATTCTACTAGTATAAAGCAGCTTTAGTATATGTGCAGTTTGTGTATGTTCTGCACATATGGTAAGTATGTGTGTAGAAGAGTAAAGCATAAGTCAGTTAAATCAACAGTAAAACCTGTGTATCACACATTTGCAGGTCCTCAAATCATCTTTGAATTGGTTCCGACACTGTCCTTCCTGCTGGAGGGTGGCTACTTTTGTTCCCCATGGTCCATGTGTGTGTTGTAAAGTAATCACCGCTCCAAGCTCGCTCCTGTGAAGGAATACAATCTCAATACAAATTAGTAAACTAAACTTGAGATTGTAGTCCATCACAACAGTGAGCTAGGAGCAGTGGCTACTTTATAACACACACAGGGACCATGGGGAACAAAAGTAGCCACCCTCCAGAAGGAAGGACAGTGTCGGCATGAATTCAGAGATGATTTGAGGATCTACAGCCGAGTGATACAGAAATAAGCTACATTTTTGTTAATAGTTAAGGCAGTTGAATGCATTTTTAAGATTTCACTCCTGAGTTTAGAGTCTCTTTAATCCATTATTCCAGCAGTTCTGGAACAATATAGAAAGTCCTGCTTTCTATGCTATAACTTACCCACTGTGCTTTGCAACTGGCACAATGGTCCGGATTGGCTGTATAACACCTCCTTCACTGCCGCTAGAAAAGTTCACCAGTGCCTTCTCCAGCAGAGGGATCAGAGTTGGGTAGTCCAAGTACTTTTCCACTACATCAGGCCCCAGAAAAACAGGCTGTTCACCCATGTTTACAAGTGAACAACGTCTTCAACTTGTCCTAATTCAGTCCCAGAGCTCTAAGAGACTGAGTGATCAACCCCTCCTGCAATCATCAACTACTGTACAAAGCCACGCTCCCTTACTAACGGTTGAAAGTGATTGCACCAGACCTCCGCTTATAGCCCCTCCTTCAGACTTTCCTAAGTTTGTTAACCCTACTCCCTTCAAAAACTTTTTTGCTATTATGACAATAGCAGCTGATTTAGTTGCGTGAAAAGATATGTTTGTGAAAGTATGAGCAAAGCCAAGTAGATGGTGGGTTAAAATCCAGTTGAGTATGCTGATACTTATGGTTCTTATGGTTTCAGAAAGCGCGATCTATACACTTTATTTCTAAATGCTGTCTACCTGCTGCAGTACAGCTGGCCATACAGTTGCACTTTATCCTTGTTTAGCCTGCAAAAACAGCGTACATGGGGAAATCTCCGCTGCTGGTCTATAGTATTCTGATGGCCGGTGCCCAAAGCTGTCAGAGTATCTGAAAAGTGACTGCAGCTGATTGGCGAAAATCGGTAGGGATTTTCGGCAAAGGAGACATGCAAAGTGCAGTGTGTACGCTCAGCCCATTCACGGCATCTCTTAGCCCTCATTCACTGTGTGCACGGCCGTATCGGGCAGCTCCCGGGAAGGACAGGTGCTGCGTGATTATACGCCACAGCCTGTCCTTCTCTATCAGACTATGCCCGCTCCCGCTGTACGCCGCCGTACTCCCATAGAGAAGGACAGGCTGCTACGTATAATCACACGCAGCACCTGTCACTCCCAGGAGCTGCCCGATATGGCCGTGCACGCAGCATGGATCTATACGGGCTGCCCATTTATTGTGTGAATGAGGACTAAAGGTGGCCATACACCTTACAACCATTGTACAACTTTTCTTGTCCAGACATCTCACCCTCATTCAATTTTCTTACAACTAGCCCATAATGCACAGACCAATGTAATTCACAATTAAGGTTTGTTAGCGCCACCACCTAGGTGATTTTCATCGAAAGAACAGGTTTTCGTTTGAGCATGTGCAGTTTTTATCTTGAGATTTTTGTTGTACAAAAACGCAACTAACCTGTCAATTTTCGCCTAACTAGACGAAAGTTTTCTAGCCTGCTTGAAAGGCAAAAATCTGCCAGTTGTACAGTAATTGAGGTTGTGCACTTCCCATCAACTGGCAGATTTTCAGACGAAAACGCAATCGCAGACAAAAATCTCCAGATAATTGTAAGGTGTATGGGCACCTTTAGATGGGGAAGATGTAACACCTGCGCACATGTGCAGGAGTTACATCATCAGTGGCCACCAAATGGCTGAAAAGGACTCTTCAATTCAAGATCAATTTGCCAGCGCTGGAGAAGGGCATGTCTGTAAGGTAAATAGCATGTCTGGAGGATAGGGTTGCCACCTGTCCGGGATTCACCCGGGCAGTCTGGGTTTGAATGCTGTGTCCAGGTTTCATTGCAGCAGAAACACAGACACAAGATGTCAGGCAGACAGGGGCAACCAAAATTAAGATAGGGGCTACTGGCCTCCCACTGAAAAAGTCTCAATTGTTATATTTACATATTAGTGGGTGGCGCAATTTACATATGAGTAAGCTGTGACTCATTCTCCCACACAAATGTCTGGGCGTCGCTAGAATGTTCGGGTTTCGCTTGAAGAAAAGGTGGCAAACCTAATGGAGTAGTCCCCACTGCCAGGTATTGTCTTTAGTAGTTGCTGCTTTATTGACTGCTGAATACCAGACCAGCACCTGCATCTAATTGGATGCAGTCACTGTTTGGCTGCGAATTTTCAGACTGACTCCTTTGACAATAGTTGAATAAAAAATCAACTTTTGTTGAGTGGGTTCGGGGTGTTGGTGCTGGGGGTACAGGATTAGAGGTGGTCACCAACATTGTGACAGCTTAACATTTAATAATGAATTCAATGATTAACCATATCAAAAGTTCAACCCAGTCCTGAAGGAGTGAATTTCACCACAAATGTTTCAACATGGGGGTATTGTATATCTGAAGGGGGTAATAAAATACACATCAACTATGTATGCCCCCTTAAAGTGACACTAGACTTAGGAATCAAATCTTAACAATACATTCAAGTACCTTAACTATTAGCCCAGGTTCCCACGCGTCTGTACGTGCGTTAGCAGCATGCGGTTATTTGCGCGTCGCGCACATTTGAATGTGCATTTAAACGTGCGTACATAAAGACGCACGTTTTGATTGGCAATGCAAAAACGCTCACGAAAATGTGCAACGTGCTTCTGTTGCGCATTTTTGGCCATTTCCAGTTAACTCTATGGGGAGGAAAAGTGTTTTGAACTGCCAAAGAAGCTCCTGTATCTTTTTAGGCATCTGGCGTTTTCCTGCTAGGCGTTTTTCTGCTCAGGTGTGAATCAGGACCATTGAACATCGTGGAATTTCTTGTGTTGGGCAGTTAAAAGGGTTTTCCGAACTGCTCAAAAACGCCTAGGTGTGAACCAGAGCTTAACAAAAATGTATCTTATTTGTGAATCACTCCGCTGTAGATCCTTAAATCATCTCTGTATTGGTGTTGACACTGTCCTTCCTTCTGGAGGGTGGCTACTTTTGGACTCCATGGTCCCTGTGTGTGTTGTAAAGTAGCCACCGCACCAAGCTCGCTTCTGTGATGGATTCCAATCTCACATTTAGTTTAATAATTTTGGAGTGCTAGGACCATGGGGATCAAAAGTAGCCACCCTCCAGAAGGAAGGATAGTATCAGCACCAATTCAGAGATGATTTGAGGGTCTACAGCCGAGTGATACACAAATAAGAATAATTTTTGTTAATAATTAGGGGTATTTGAATGCATTTTTAAGATTTTACTCCTGAGTCTAGTGTCACCTTAAGGGGGGGGGGGTTATCATTTGTGTTCAACTTTGTTATTTACTAATAAAACTTTTAACATATTATATTGTAAGCTATGTCTTCTTGGTGCTACATTGAAAGTCCCATTTTCCACCATATATATTTATTCATGGATATACAGAGAGAGGCAGTATTAGTGAGACTCTGTAGTAAATCTAAGTTGGGATTTCTCTCCATTTCAGTGTGTAAAATATATATGAGGGTACCTCAGGGAGAAAGACTTGCTGCACCAAATCAATAGCCAAAATATCAGTTGCATTCCAGTCAAGCAACTAAATGCCAAGCTGTAATGCATATGCATATGAGATTCAGGCGCTCCGCAACATTCATGGACTACAGCAGTGCCGTTTGGCCTACAAATAAAGTAATTCCCCCTTCCACAGTAATAAGCGTAGATGGAGGAAATTCCTGCTGACAGCTATTGTAAATAGTAGCTGCTGCTGAATATCCGGACAGAGTGCTGTTTGTCGGAAAATTTTGACTGGCTCCTGTGGCAAAAATCAATTTAAAAATTGAATTTGTCGGATGGAGGGGTGCCAGAAGGGCCAGCTGCAGCTCGAATTTCAGCCGGTTAATCAGACACCTGCCAAAATTGTCTCCATCAGTGGCCAGCTTTACAATAGCTGAGCTGAAAACTGATACATTGGTTATGATGGACTGAATCGGGGCAGAACAAAACATGTCATTCGATGTTCCAAGCTGTCTAAGGAAGCACCCTCTTTATCCTAGTTTAACTGTAACAAAAGGTAAACCCAAGTGAAGCAATGCTGCTCTGTCCATATACTGTATTCCAAAAGAATATACTCTAATGGAACACACAGTAGAGAATGCATAACTGGGCCACAACCCTGATTAAGGTTCCGGATTAAAAACGTTTGGCTCACATATTGTGACAATTAATAACATATTGTTATTAATTCCCATTAAAAGTAGTATTAAACTATCAAACTTTTTTTTTATAATGAATCCAATAATGGAGTGTTAGCTTGAGCAGTTACAGTCATCATGTTTCTGAACAGCTGGCTCCAACTCTCTCAGCTTGGCTTCCCTAAACTTCCTGTCCAGTACAAAACCACAAGGGACAGAGCAGTTAATCTACTAACTTGGGGAAGTTAAGAGGGAGCAGGAAGCTGGGGAGTGGCTTGCCTTGCTGTGCCTCCGTGTTTGTGGAGACACACACAACTTACTAGCACACACAAGGATGGCTCACTAGGACCATGCAAGGGTAAGGAGACACCCTAAAACAGGATATCAGGACCAGTGCTCCAGGGACCAGCTGATACTGCAGGAAGCTACAACTTATAAGTATTGAGTAACAGCATATGTTGTAAGTGATTTAATCGGCATTTGAAATAGCTTATACACCTTTTGACTTTAATATCACTGCTGTTAATTTTTTTTTATGAAAATCAAATATTCTTGGAAAATCTGTGCTGGTGCAGAAGCAGGAGATGCTTCTGTCTCTGGTGTTGCTGGGGTGGGAGCTTCATCTACTATCAGGACACAAGCCTGCAAAAAATACAGGGAGAGTGCTCCTACATATAGTATGGTTGTTATTGTTATTATTATTATTATTATTTATATTAGGATTGATATAGCGCCAACAGTTTGCGCAGCGCTTTACAATATAAGGAAGACATTACAACCACAAAACAATTCAAGACAATATCAAGTAAGAATGTCAGTACTCCTTTTACATGGAGCTGAACCATCTGTAAAACCAACAGCTGAGCCCTCATGATTACTACAAGAGAGTTGCTGTCCTGCTGTCATTTGAATTTTGACTGCTGAGTTACGCAGGGGAAAATTGGGCGTGCAGACAAGCAACTCGTGCATAAATGAAGGCTACAAACAGTTTGCTGCCCTTATTCATAAATGAATGCTTATATGCAAATCAGCTTCTCTGGACTAAATGAAATGATTTGCAACATTGAGAGGGAAATTTATCAGAACTCGAGCAGACAAAATCTAGAGCAGTTGCCCATAGCAAGCAATCAGCTTCTTGTTGGTTATGTGTTTAGATGAAGCACTGAGATCTTGAGGAATACTGAATTAAGTTTTACTTGCTTAGAAGGATATTATATCAAAATACAGCATTTACAGCATACAGCTAGAACTTCCTGTATACCATAGATAAAAGCATGCATGTAGAAAACTAGCATAGACTTGACTTGCACT